TAGACGATAGTACGATGTTTTTGATTTGTTAGTTGACACACTGAGACATTCTTATGGGTAGTTGTATCTGTGAGTTCATGAACAGGTAACAATGGAGTGAAATCACCATGAAATTGATTATAATAAACGTTCGTCAATTCTTTTTTCATTACGGACAAATTTTTTGGTAATCCTGAAGTCGCTGAATCTGTTGATGATGCCGAAGTCATCAAAGGTTTGTGTCTTAATTCATTGATCGCCTTTTCAAATAGCCTTCGATGCAGCACACTTAATACACTGATATCGTGTAGTACTTCGTCGTCGATTGCGGTTAAAAAAATATGACCATCAATGCCATGGGTACGAAAACTGCCTGAATAATCCTTATTGATATGCTTCAGTGATTTCACCCACTGGTATACACGGATGATATCCCAACTCTCGATGTTTTCGGACAAAGCTCAAAAGAACCTAAAGGAGCATGATTTAAACGAATTTTTAAACATCGAAGCGGATTACAATACCGGTTGTGATTCTTACCATATGGTTTATCGGGCACGTCTTTAATCTGTTGCGTCTGCAATGTATCATCCTTTTTTATTTTGGATAAAAACATACTGCTATTATTGGTTTCTTCAACTCGAGTCTGGGTAATCTGTGTCTCTGTCGGAATCGGTTCAACAATAACTTTAAATGGACCGATTGGGACTTCATTATCAGCCAAAAAAATTAGAATAGAATGTGCGCCTGGTGCTTCTGGTGTATAAGAAACGTTGAATGTACCAGTCTTAATTTCGTCAATAACCAAAGTGATATCTTGATTGTGAGTATCGGTTAATACTACACTGATATCGTCTATAAAGTAAAAAGATCAAAAGTTGACCCACAGCAGATATTTTACTCTCATAAATAGAGTTTTTTGCTATCATTTTTAGGATGATCGTATTGAAAATGCCAAAAGAATTACAGATACACACCCTTTTGAGCATTTTCACAAGCGATTATAAAATGTGTCGATTTATGCACTTTAACACCCAATTGAACACCGGGACCGTACACTCGTACTTTGGAAGGGTTCAGTAGTTCTTTCTGCTTGACCTATAGCAATAGTTAGAGAGGAACTGGTAGATACTAGCAGCGAATTATCTATGATGAGCAAATAAATAGTATCGTACTTTTGGGGAATTTGCTTTTGCTAGAGCCGGCATACTGTCTTTTAATTTTGCATTTGGATACTGTGCTAAATATGTCATCATTGATTGTTCATCTACATTTGGATCAATCAATTCATGAGGTTCAATTAATTGTGCCATACCAAGATACTGCTCGGCCAGCATCATGGCTTTTTTAACATGCACTAAAGCATTTATTTGATTACTATCAGCCCAATTTGGATATAAACCTGGTGCGCATGAATTCAGTAAGGCACCGATTGCTCGTCCATCATTCCAGTCCGATGTAAAGTTTTTTATCTGAAATTCGGTAGGTAACTTTCCTTGTATCCAACCCATTAACTTTTGTTTCGGTGTTAAATCTTTGACTGATATTGCACCGCCGAATGCTTCGAAATCCCATACGGGCAATGAAATTGAATAATGTAAAATTAGTGTCCATATCAAACCGAGTATTAACTTTAATTTACCGTCGACAATATGAGTTGCATCTATTTCGTATAATGAGAAAAACATAGTTTGTTAATGAAGCGCAAAATCGGAATGTTCAGCTAGCGGTCGCTTTCAGATCAGAAGGTGCGAAAAAACTGCAGTTTTGTTTTGTCACGCATCAGAATCGTGCCATAAGGGAGGTCATAGTTAACGTTATTGTGCAAGAATGTTGAAGGTTATGGTGTAAGAATATTCAAGATTATTGCATAGAGTATAGTCAAGACTGTTACGCAATATGACGCGTATAAATAGATTGGATTTTATTGTTGGAGTGAGATTATTTTGTTTGTAAATAAAGGATGGTCAAACACATTAGAAAAGGTGGACTCTAACAACTCTCTTCTTATTTATATGCAGAGAACCAGGCGAAGTTCTTCACGTTCATTCCGAAAAATTGAGTTGGTGTATACTGAGCACAGTTTCGCTACAGCCGCAGACTGTGTGGTGGACATTAACTTCAACATTTGAAGAAATCAACGAGTGAGACACAAAATTTTAAATCAAGGTTGGAAGATCTGTTAGCATTCTAAGTCATCCGGAAATGCTAAGCGAGAAACAAATATTCAGTAGTTTAGCGGTTACAGCAGCCGCTTGCAAATGGGAAAGACGGATGTTCGACTCCTCCCCGAGACAGTGTACTTTTTCTCTCTCGTTCTGCCGCGTCACAACATCTAGTAGGTGGCTTTCTCTTCCCTTCCTTCCTCATCTCTCTTCGTCTCTAACAACATCTTCATTTAATTTTCTGTTCTAGATATTTTCAACAAGGAAAACCTTGACAGTATATTCTAAAATATAAAGCGTCTCCATTGAGTCTCTTTCTTTGCAGAGCGTTTCTTTTTCGATAAGTCACATCGAAGTCTTTCACGAAGAGACACGCCGTGCGTTTCGGAAGTGTCTCTTTTTTATCGAAGCATTTCAGAAAGAGACACATGAAAAGTCGCTCGATGCACCGACTTTGTGTCTGAAAAAAAAAGTCACTTCATTTTTGCTGTAGAATGCGACTTTAAAAGAGCCGCATAATAGTCTCATTTTGAAAGAGCCACATAGAAGTCGCAATGCTGGAACAGGTGAAGTGGTAATGTGTCGTCCTCATAATTCTATTTTTGATAAAATGATAGGCTGATGTTCAAACTATTGTTCCCGACTTCTTTTTTCCGCGTTGTCCGGCTACACGATAAAATAAGAGAAAAGAATAATTATTCTG